AATAAGTTTGAAGGAGAGAGAGAGAGAGAGAGAGAGAGAGAGAGAGAGAGAGAGAGAGAGAGACTCTCTCCTTGGGCGCATAACGCTGAAAAATACAACGTACTTGAACACAAAATCGTCTATGGAAGCTGCGAGTCCTGAGCTGCAATAATCCAAAGGGAAAGAACCGAACGACGAGTAACCTCACTTCTTTCTTGGTAAAATGAATGAAAGCAAGAAGAAAAAACAAAGAGAAGTGAAGACTAAAGTTACACTGCTACTTCACCATTCTTGACGTAATTCTGTGTGTGTGCGTGTGTGTGTGTGCGTGTGTGTGTGTGTGTGTGTGTGTGTGTGTGTGTGTGTGTGTGTGTGTGCGCGTGTGTGTGTGTGTGTGTGTGTGTGTGTGTGTTTCTGTTTACCTTGTAAGAGAGTGACAGTTAATAACACGAAGCGCCACAACATCTCGCTCCCAGAGTTTCCTGAAGACAAAGACGAATACGAATTTATCTTTTCCATCTTTTCAAGTCGCACGAGCCTAATTAAGGTCGGTAGGTACTCATGCCCCTGTGGAAACAAATAAATGCCTCGGGGTTGGTGTAAAGAATCAGTTGAGTGAGAGAGAGAGTTGTCCGTGGGCAAAAAAACTTTCTCAATTAGCAGGCAGCGTGGAATTACTCGACCTGGGCTGAACCACGGACGGATAGACTACCACTTAAGGTCTTCTTGCCAGTGACTCCCAGATATCGAAGATCAGAATCAACGAAATATTTTTCATAAGTTATCGTTAATTTAGGTATTTTAAGGTATGAAATCGATTCTAAATTCTGAATATAAGACGAAAATTTACACTTTCCTTAGTATTATACTTAATTTCTCAAATGTGTCAAATCATTGTAGAAAAAAAATAGTTTCATGAATGTGTTGAATCTTTATCATCTTGGTTATGAACAGTTGTGTAATATACCAGCTAGTGAAACTAATTATTTGTTTAGCAATGAAATTTATTGATATTTTAGTTTCAGTCGATACGCGTTTACGAGACTGAGTGTAAGTTAGTGTTACACAGTCGACAGTTTCCGTGCGCGCGCTCTCTCTCTCTCTCTCTCTCTCTCTCTCTCTCTCCATCCAACCATTCATCCATCATTCTTTATTACCTTTTCCTCATATTTTCCTCATATTTAGTACAAATTATACTCTATATAGATGCAGCAAACAAAAAAAATCCTCTGAAAACAGAAGTAAACATTAAATGCATCTCGCGGTGTTAATATTACCCTGCGTGTTTCATGTCACTGATTTGAAGTGAAGCGATGTTTAAGTTGTGGTATAATGATGAAGGAAAGTGGAGCGATGTTTAAGTTGTGGTATAATGATGAAGGAAAGTTGAGCGATGTTTAAGTTGTGGTATAATGATGAAGGAAAGTGGAGCGATGTTTAAGTTGTGGTATAATGATGAAGGAAAGTGGAGCGAGTGATGATTTGTTGTGGTATAATGATAGGAAAAAGGATGTTTAAGTTGTGGTATAATGATGAAGGAAAGTGGAGCGATGTTTAAGTTGTGGTATAATGATGAAGGAAAGTTGAGCGATGTTTAAGTTGTGGTATAATGATGAAGGAAAGTGGAGCGATGTTTAAGTTGTGGTATAATGATGAAGGAAAGTGGAGCGATGTTTAAGTTGTGGTATAATGATGAAGGGAAGTGAAGATCGATAGAAAACGAATGACTTTTTACAATCTGATGTGAGAATCTTAATAATCATTGATAATTCTAAATAGTGTAATAAATTGGCTTAGACAAGATACATTAGCTACATCAGTGTGCAATAACTTAACATTAGCAAGTTGGAGGTTCTTAATATTCTAATGATAGTGAAATTCAGTATTTTTTTATGGGGTTCGATTATTGTATGTGGGATTTTGATTATCTTGTGGGTTATCCATTAATATATTTGGGATTTCGATTATTTTATGTGGATTTTGATTATTTTGTAGGATTTCGATTATATTTTGTGGGATTTCGATTATTTTATATAGGACCTCGATTATTTTATACGAAATTTCGATTAATTTGTATATAATTTTGTCTAAATATTCAAATAATATATAACTATATCAAAATCTTTATATGTATGTGAATTATACTCCTTTATTAAACGATTCTAAATATACTGTATATTTGACGAAGGAATTTGTTATGCATTTTATATTTACGAGAATTTTGGGTCACGGTTAGTATACCTACATAGAATCCAAACTGTAGGGTAGACCCCAATTTAGAAGGTAATGGAAGTTCAAAGATTACTTGCTGTATTTACTCTCTCTCTCTCTCTCTCTCTCTCTCTCTCTCTCTCTCTCTCTCTCTCTCTCTCTCCTACAACATAAGACGTAACAGTGTAGTCTCATTCGTCTTCACTTAACGTGTCTTATTACCAACAACATAATAGCCTCCTGAAGCTCTTGTGTTTACCACGAGCCTGCAGCGGCGAGGGAATCCACACATAATGATTACGACTCTGCTCCCACTCTCACTCTCTCATATTCACGGATTATTTTCTTAACCTTTTACCTCACATTGTTACGACACTGAGATTTAGCTATTCAGAGTATTAACTAATCCGGGCTCTTTTTATAACCTTCATATATAAACATTAAGTAAACAAGTAAATATTAATCTTAAACAATATATAAATAATGTATATGTATGTTTATTATTTTTAATGGTTTACTCCACAGTTGTGAATTTCTTACAAGAACTAAGTATAGGTCACTTTATAAATTGATATAGTACAGCAGATTATTAATATTGATTATAAACACTGACGCTTGTGTAGTAAAACATATTTCAGTTATAATTCACCTGAAGGATTAGAAATAAAAATGTAGTCTTTACCTTTTATAATCGTAGGTGTTATAATACATAATCTCTCTCCCCAGTCTCAACTCTCTATTATATTCTGCTTAATGTTTATAACGTAACATAAAAGTTCTTTAGTTAAAAGTTAACATGAAAGGTTTGGTTCAGTAATACAATAGAGTGATCGTATGAACTGATTTAATTATACAATACTTGAGCATTATGAACTTTGTCTTTATATTATTGATAATAGGGACAGTAGAAGTGATACACTGTTCTGGGTAGTTGGTAAGAGTGTAGATTAGTTCACCATGTGCTACACCATCTCTAGGACATCTTCCACTGATTTACTGGACTCGAATTGTTTTTTGTCGAGACTACAGCTTGGGCGATGTTGTTTATCAGCATTAACGGAGTTTGTGAGTTGTGAATTATGCCAGAATAAATTATCGCTGGGCACCGCTATCATACGAAATAGATTATGTAAATCTTGATGAATCTTAACGACAGTGAAAATCTAAAATGCGCCATTTATCAACATTAAGGGAGACTCACTCTCAAGAATGTTGTCACTGAGCTGGATGAATGATCGTCAGGCGGCGAGGCGTATATACGCCAACCCCAACACTGAAAAAATACTCTGCCGCCTACAGTCTGGTGTGTGGTACCTCGGTAAGGGGCTTACAGCGTCTGTGTTAGGGCCGTCCATAATGGGGTCTGTGAGTGGTGTTCTTTTAATATATACCTGTATATATATATATATATATATATATATATATATATATATATATATATATATATATATATATATATATACACACACACACACTAAGTTTGTTTTCATTCATTTGATCAATTTAGTTTGTATTCTGTAATTCAGCTCTCACAGTCAGATGCCACAATAATACGTTAGTTTAAGCTCTCTGACACATAACCAGAACACAAGTAAGTCTGGTAAACCACAAAGGCCAGAACAAGGGAGATGACTGACAGTATATATAATAAGATCCACGTGGGTCTCCTTATGAACCTATCTCCACAACAAACAACATCACCACAACCACCAATACTACCACCACCTCTATCAATACCACTATCACCACCAGTACCATTATCACTATCACTACCACTATCATCATCATCACCACCACTATCACTACCATTATCACATATCACTACCACTATTACAACAACCACCACAACCACTACCACTACCACAACCATCAACATCACCACTAAACGAGGGAGTGATAAACAACAACGTCTAACACATTGATATAGACCTGTGACGTCTGTACCAAAACCCCCCTAACACATATATCCTAACATGGCACAGTATAACACTAGTCAATACTACCAAGTCAGGTATCTTTTTCCCCCGACCACTCAGTCACTTTTCACCATTTACCAGTAAACTAAAGGGTCATATTGGCGGAGGTTGGAGGGATTCATAGTTCTTTAGAAGGATCTGTCCGCCTGTTAGCCAGAGTGAAAGCCAGTCCTCCTATCAGCCATAAGACCTCGCCCACTCCCCTGCCAGGGTTGATTACTGCCGCCTTACACGACCCCAAACTCGTTCCCTCCTGCTGTCATAGAGGTGGAATGGCAAAGGCAGCGTAGTGAGTAGTGTGTGTAGGACTTGGTGAATAGGAAGGGAGGAAGATAATCACGCCCCCGTCACCACTATCACCATACACTCACACAACAGCGACACACACACACACAAAAAAGCATCGTGTTTGGTGATTGATGAATGACTATATTTCTCTGACGTCAGTGTGTGTGTGTGTGTGTGTGTGTGTGTGTGTGTGTTCTCAGACATAAGAATAGAAGGAAAGGGAGGATAGGAAGGTAAAAATATAAAAGAGGGTATAACGGAGAATGAGGGGGGGATTTAGGGAAGCGCGCGCACACACACACAAAACATCACGGGTGGTGTTCTCTCCCTGATAGAATCTTAAAACTTCTCTTGAATAGGAATGAGAAAACCCAAGTGGCATCGGTAAAAATTCTCAGTGTCCAAATTCGATAATATTTTGAACCAACAAACTTGTTTCGTAATTTACAGAATACATTATTTCTCGCACTTGTGCATATTAATTAGGGAAGAAAATTACAAATATGAATCCTTAAGAATCGTGGTCAGGTATACATGTTGACTCACCTTGTGCTTGTCGATGTGTATGTGTCTCAAGTGAGGGTCATACACTAGTTTGTCCGGCTCTATGTTGATGGGCGACTGCCGACGACCTCTCTCACACATATTCCAGTTGGGGTTAATGAGACCCCAAAACTCTGGAC